GTTACTTAGCTTTTGTTGAGGTTTGGCTTTCCCATAGTTTGGTTGTAGCAAATTGCCAAAATTCTTATCCCATTCCCGTACCTGGTAAAGCTTATGTGTCGAGACGTCTGGTGTACGTTTTTTCCGTTTTTACGATGCCATTGGACAACCTCGATTTTCTTTGCCACTGTGTAAGAATGCATAGCCAACCTGACACCGCCAAAACAAAGTGACAATGGCGCGTGGCAACCGGGCTGATCGGGCTGCAAAGTAGGATTGGATTGGATTTCGCAGGCCAGTTTTGCCTGCGCACGGTCAGCGTGGTGCATGATACGGATGCGGAGCGAGGAGGGGGCGTTTTTCTGGAACGGCGCGGAAATGGGAAATTAACAGTGAAGTTGGGGAGGGGGGGGGGGGCTTTTGCTCGGGTGGGAGCGCTTGCTCAGAATTTTACGGTAGGTTCTCCTCCACGACTTGGTAGTGAAATTATTGTCCTGCCAACGAGGAAATGTGCCGATGTGAACAGCTCTGGTTCCCCTGGGTCGGCGGCCATGTGGGTCAACGGTCAAAAGTTTATCACTGCCTCGATCTCTGTTAAAATGGTGCTCAACTCCTTGAAGGTCACGTAGCTGCATCCCAGTACCTTCTCAGGGGGCTCTTCACGGAGCGCACCATTCACTCCCAGAATCTGCCCCACCAGGCTGCACACTCTACGATGAATTTCCATTTAATGTCTTGAAATGGCAACGAAATGAAATGGTGACGAGTGCCCAGAGGCTGCACACTCTACCAAGCTGCACACTCTACGGTGAATTTCCATTTAATGTCTTAAAATGGCGACGAAATGAAATGGTGACAAGCGCCCAGAGGAAGACGTCGTCTTCCTCTGGGTGCTCGTCGTCTTGTGGTTGGACTGACTAAGAAGGCCCGCCTTCCTTCAGGAGTTTTGGATTGTGGTTGGCAAGACGCTCCACCATGCTCCAGTGAGCATTTCCGCGGCCTGTCGGACATTGACTACTGTCGACAGCTTCAGTCAAAGGTTTATCAGCAGTCGTTGAACTAGGTGCCTTCGAAAATGCGACTTCACACTTTTGATAATGCCCTGATCTAATGGTTGGTGCAAGGAAGTGCAGTTAGGCGGCAAGAACTCCAGGCATACATTTGTCAGGCGGAAGTCGACAAGATGAGCCGAGCAGTTGTCGACGATCATGAGAATTTTCCTCCCCTCCTTTTGCATCTGATCATCCACTTTGAGGAGCCACTCGGAAAACAACTCTCGCATCATCCAAGCTCGTATGTTTGCTCGGTAGTCACATGGCAGTGACACTATATTCTTCATGCAGCGGGGTTTCAAAAACCTTCCAATCACCGAAGGCTTCAGTTTCTTGGATCAAGTGGCATTGACGCAGAAAAGCACAGAAACTTGTAAGTTTCGATTTCTTCCCACCTTTGCAATTTTCTTCTTTGAAGTGCAGGGTTCTGTTCGGCAGCAATTGATAGAAGCATGCCATTTTGTCTGCATTGAAAATGTCATCCTCGGAGTATGATTCAATTACTTCTTGAAAATGACCGTTCCTCCACGTGTGTGCACTTTCCGCATCTGCTGCTTGTGCTTCTCCCGAAATCGCTTGCCAAGTAATTCCGTTCCTCTTGCAAAAACGATGAAGCCATCCAGCACTTGCTTCGAACCCGGTCACGTACAATGCTACAGCGAATTCCTGCGCTTTTTCCTGGAGCATTGGTCCCGACACCAGCACATCTTGCGATCTTGCGTCTTTGAACCACATCAGCACCGCTGCATCGACTTTTTGGTAGTTGCCATGCCGCAGCCGCTTTCTGGTCGGTGCAAGTTGGGATCCACGGCGAAGTTTCATTATCTTCCGCCGATTTCTCAAAATCGTTGCGATGGTCGACAGCGCCATTCCACGCTCCTTGCATACGTCAATCTGCTTTCTTCCATCATCGACCTGACGAAGAATATCTACCTTTTCCTTCAGCGTAAACTGCTTTCGCTTTTTCGTTACGCCGGCAACAGAACCCATCGTCACAAGGAAAGAAAACTCGTGACTGACGGAAGTGAACGAGCAGCACCCCTTGCGTCCGGAACAGTCCACATGAAGGAGAGGTCTGACAGGAATGTGAAATTAGGTGGGTAGGGTTAGGATTTGTTTCCCGGCTCGATCTTTGATGATGATGATGGTTAAGCATTGCGGGAGCCGCCAAACGGCCAAAATGCGCGTCTTTCTGTAACTTAAAATTATTTTTGCCATCCGTCGTTGCTTTCGGCCGCTTTTTTGCGATATAAATTCGTAATAGTGAGGTGTTGTTCGCGTATAAGAGCATTTAAATTACGTGTGTTATTTTGAAATATTCTGTATTTTGAAATTCGTAGTACTGAAATATTTTTGCATTGAAACCAATAGGCATTTGGAACAGGATTTTTGAAATGTTTGTAAATCTGAAAAATGTGTTATAATGACGTTCGCAATAACGAGATTTGACTGTATATCACTGTGCTTCCTCGTCTGCAGACTCGCCATTGCTTTGTGCACATGCACCGCTTCCAGATGCAAAAGCTGAGGAGTACGCTTGCATGGTTCCAACTTTTGCTGTCACCGTGTCGGGGAAGGTCATAAGTATAGTAATGCTTCCCAAGACGGCGAAGTCTGCTACGGAAGCCCAAGACTGCATTTGTACTGGCAGTGCTGAGAGAATTCCTCTGCTTTTTTTTCACGATGCTCAGTTGGCTAGAGACTTACACCTCTGCGTTTGAGTGTGGCAAGGTGTGCACATTGATTGCTAGATGCACAAGCTCGGGAAACGGGTTTGAGCCAGCTGCATCGCAGTATGCAAGGACCTCAGACCAAAATGCAATGGTGTCAGTGGTGCTCGCCCAGCTCACCACGGTTAGCATCTTCCACTGGGTGTCCACGAGATCTATCTTGTTTGGTTTTATACCAAAAAGTTCTGCCAGCTCCACAATGGGTTCTTTCAGCGCTCGCAGGCACGCTCCCACAGACCGCCATGCCATGGCCTGCAATATCTTGTAGTTCGATGGTAGGTGCAGCCAAAGCTGATAGCTTAACTGTGAATGCAATGCAGTGCTGGCATACCAAGTCGACTTCAGGACCAGCTGGCAGCGTGTTCGCTAGTTTCTCGAACTTGTACCCCCAGTACGGCTTGGGATTTAGGTGGCCATCGATAAGCTGGCACAGAGGATCAATGTTCACCGTTAAAATGAGCACTTTGCTACATACCGTCTTTATCAGGAGCGTGAGGTCTTCAAGAAGCCTCGCAGGATCCACGTTTTTCCTCTCGTAGGCCTTGGCGTGCTGAACCTCTTGCACCAAGAAGTCCACGTTCCTCAGAAGCGTTCCCTGAACAGCGTGGGAAAGTGCCAATTGCAACGAATGGCACATACATCTTATCATTATCAAGTTTAGGAGTTGCCACTCGCGCTTCATTGTCTCAAAAACTCCGTTTATGCCCCGTGTTCACCGGTGCGTTGTCAACTCCAATGCCGAGGAGATGCTTTGTGTCAAGTCTCATGCGCATGTGGAGGCTTTTCAACGCTTGATGATAGCCACAGCCGTGCCATTGTCCAATTTGTTTAGCGCCAGAAATATTGTCACTATGCTTTTCTGTGCAGCACTAAAGTACCGCACCACTACACCCAGCAACTTGGTAGTGAAAACATCTGTAGCCCCGTCGATGATCAGGCTGTATTTCGAGTTCCCAATGTCAGCCACCAAGAGCTGTACGAAGTGCGGAGAGAACAGGTTTACGATGATCTCTGTGCACTTGTTTCGGTGCATGCGCAAGCCTGCTGCGCTTTTGCCGTTCATGAACTGTTTTTTGCAAAGTTTTGTCAGGTGGTCAGCGGCGAGGAACGCTAATGCTCACATATGAACAGGCAGAAACCGGCTTCACTTTTGCCACAAGAAGACTCGGTTGCGGCTGGAAACTGCAGCTTTTTCCCTTGAGATCTGCAGTACAGTTTGGATGATTTCTTGTGCTTGGTGGCGGTGGCATGCTTTTTTATATCAAAAAGCTTCGCATAAAATTCGCTCCCAGAATAGGCACAGGATGCTTTTGTGCTTTTGTTTTCCACAGAACGTAACAAGCTTTTAAACTCAGGTAAAGACTGCCAACTTTTTCTATGGTGCTGATTGTACTTTGGAGGCATAATACCGCTAGATCCAGCAAGTTGGCAAACTTCAACGCTTGTGTTATTTGCGGAAACTAACCGTTGCCCGTCCCATTGCCAACAAGCTCGCCAACGCCTTGAGTGACTCAAGGCGTTGGCGTGAAGATCCTGATCCAGGAGCGAAACAGCGGAAGACTGCATTGAATTCATGTAGCCACCCGTTGTGTATAAATCTTCATCCTCGGGGGGGTTATCTTCGATAACCGCTCTGAGGTTGTCTAAAGTTAAGCCGTCGCAAGCAGGATTGTTCCAGAACTTGTCAAACAAAGCTGCTCGCGTCAATACCTGAGGTTTTTTTCGCGACGTTCACAAAGGATTCTACAAACACCTGCTAGATAATCCGTGGAAAGGGGAGTAGTTCTAACATGGTTCGTGGTTTGAGAATGTCTTTGCATGACTGCTACCTCGCATCACCCTCACCCTCAACAGGATGAAACAAAAAAAATGAGTGACGTCCAGAGCAGTCACCTGAGAGCCACTGGAGTGGCTCTATGGAGCTTTAGTAACAACAATTTACCTAACTGTAAAAAAAGTAAAAAACACCGTAGAAGTCCTTAGTAAAGTTGCTAAGACTCCAAAAAGACAGAAAAGTCGTTAGGACGACTGAAAGCACGCTAAATTTAGCGACTTTCTCGCTAAGTTAACAGCACTTTTGGTTGCAAATGGATTGGCTTGGTTTGGCAGCGCGACTTGAGTACTCTCGAGTCCTACCGCTAGGTGACGCTATGCTAGCCCTTTTATGTAGGTGCACGTCATCATCATCACCATCATTATTATTGTTTTGCTTTGTTTCCTTTCACTTTCATGTCGCCAGTCGCCATTTTGCGCTCGTGGATTTGCGCCTCTTATCTCATTCCTCGCATCAGCAGAAAATGAGACTCCAACGACTCCGACGACGACTACCGCCCGCAGCCATTGACAGCGGATACTACGTATGCATTAACATTGCTGTTGAATGTGTACGACGAGAACACGGCGCGCGCGCAAATGCAAGCAGACATCATCGCAAGCAGGCGTAACATGAAGCATGCATGAAGCAAGCCACTATTGACAGCTTTTTGAAGCCTGCTTTGGCGTAATAAAGGCAAGTTTTTTCATCTACCGAATTTTTGGACTGCTTGATTATTCGGACCATTTCGGGGGTCTCCTCCAAGTCCGAATAATCGGTTGGCGACTGTAGCTGTTAAATCTGAGGAATCGGGCTTAAACAATATAATCGGAGGTAAGAAAAAAAAAAAATGTGGTTAGTTGGCACAAGTCACCATCCAACTGTCGCTATGCATCCATTCCTGCGTCCATCTATTCTGTTTTAGAGAGCCTAGATCACAACGGCCAAGTAACATTGCAGTGGCCTAGATTTAAAAGAGGGAGCAAGCCTTGTGGAGCCTGTGGAGCAAGCTCAACTGAAACCATGGAGACTGCTCCTGCGCAGATTGGTCGTAAGTGTGCATATGTCGTGTTGTTGTGTGCCTTGCGTGCAAAGAAGGCGAGCAAACGGAAACGGAAGACGCCTGCCCAATCGACGCTTTCCTCCTTTGGTCACCTTCTCGCAGTTCGTAATTCAAATTCCGGCTAATACTCGAACAGTCGGAAACCCTCTCAAATCGAGGCACACTATTTTTCCCTTCCGTTTTCTTCCGAATCAAAATTTGCGGCTTGCGGCACTTGCGATTCCAAAAGAACGACGACAACAACTCGGCTGGTTTCATGGGCGTCGTTAACGGGTTTTCTTTTTTGTGATCTTGCAGTCGCCGATTTCTGTGAGTGTGGCAAGTGTGTTCTACATCAATGCTTCAGTTGGAAACGAGGGGCGTTACTCATAAAATGTATTCGGCATAGCGCAAAATTAAGCGGCGCAAATGGGATGTTTCGGTTGTGATTCAAGGTTAGATTGCATCACGATCATGAGTAAATCTGCTTGCTATAAAGTTTGTGGCATTCGTTACTTTTCTTTTGTATAACCCGTGCGTTAAATTTTTGTGGAATGGTAGGACCAAGAGCTGTTCCTCGCATGGTCTGTCTAACATCGCGGCACTAACATCGGGAGAATAAATGGCTCTTTTGTCAGTTCCGCGCCGACCGCGCGTCTCGGGCCAAATATATTGAATATTCGAGTGACCGAGTAGTAGGAATTCGATTTGCGAATCGAATTATTCGGGAACTTTTTATTCCATTCGAATTCGTATATTCGAGTATTCGCACACCCCTAATAAAAAAGTAAAATTTCAGGGGGAGTACTGACGCCCGAACATTCCCCCTGGCTTGATCAACACTACGTGGTTCTCTTTTCGTTCGCGTGGTCGTTGCTTAATTTTTTTGTTGCGAATTGTTTCGTGTTCTTTTTCATATCAAATGCCGTAAATGATTGGTCACTCACTTGGTTATCATACTGTCGCACTACGTGTGAACTGTGTGTGGAGCTTACAAACATGTCTAATAAATCGCTATACTTTCAGATTCTCGGACATCTTGAGTATGTTTATTACGATCGAACTGAAACAAACTAAGTTGCGTTGAACGTTTACACAATGAGAGTTCGGTCTGACTTAGGTTATATCGACCGTTGTTTGGGCTGTAGATAAATTTAGCCTGTAGTTTTACTGGTTGTGATTACACGACCACACGCCCATACTACGCTCACCAAGTTTAGAAAAAGCAAGGATGGGTATCGAACCCAGTATGCCTGGGTCAGAATCGCGGCTGAGGATTACCACTGCGAGTGAGGAACCGTATTCACACGTTTGTAAGTAGACTGGAATATAGGTCGACACCCCCCCCCCACATCGCATACCAGGAAAATATAAAGCTATATATAAGGAAATTACATAGGGGCACATTGGACGCAGGGTTTCATACTTCCGCGACGTACACCGCAAGTTTTGCCTCTAACTCTCGAAATCATCCCGACTTTGGTTTGCGGAAACCTCGTTATTTGACGCCACAGTTGAAAGTCTCGGATTGCCGCAACCACCACTGGCGCACCACCTGTTCCGAGATGTCAGACGTGTAAAACGCTTATTCAGGGCCTCTACTAGTATAACTCGCAACAAACAAAATGTTATTCTGTGTTTAAAGGCCGACAACCAGATCGTGCTTTCCACTTTTCCCTTGCTTCTTCCTCTCCCTCCTTCTACCCTGTCCACCATTGCCTGTTTCCTCCTCCCCCATGGTGAGAAGGATGTTCTGCCTTGCAGAATCTTGAGTCTGGTCGTCGTCCTTTAAGTGGTTAATAGTAACATATTATGTTGTGGACTTGTTTGAAAGCTGTGGAGGGGCACTTTGCCAGGGCAGTACTACTGCTAACCTGCAGTTTTTAATGTGCTGCACGATCTGATTTGAGAAATGAGCACTGGTAACCAATAAACGCAGCACAGAACTGCTATTTGTTCGTGTTGCTTCAAAATGCTTAGTTTTCCTGACACCGAGGTGCTCCAAGAAGAGATTTTCCCTGCTCCAAAAGGGAAGTTTATGTGATACAAATTGCTCCAAAATTGGATTTTTCTTGCTCGAAAAATTGCTCCGAAACTTAAAATGGCTGCACCACCACTGCATGATGATACAGAAAGTGCACAAAGCATTTTTTTAGCATTTTTTGCACTTTATATTTATAAGCAATTTGTATTTATATTTATAAGCGTGTGTCTGGTTGTATGCGGCCTGTTTCTTGCCCTGCTTTTTTATTTTTATTTGTGCATACTGCGTGCCATAACTGACCTAAGCAGGCAGGGCAACACATTGGTTGAACATACCCATTATTCTCACCAGTGACAAATGATGAGGTGGCGAATAACTAAACAAAACAACCGCGGCAGTGATCTGCCTCGGACCCCACGGTAGCCTCCGGTCCCTGAACTACGCAATCAGCCTCTGAACAAACGACAGTCTCCGGGTCGCCTCGCGCGTCCAGTTCTGTTTCCTTCAAAAAATCGAGCCTCAGGCTTCTACTGCCCAAAGCTGCGTCTCTTCACGGCACTCCCCTAGGAGACGAGCTTTTACTCTCCGCTGCTCCACCCGGAGTTCTGCGAGTCGTACCTGCTGCTTTAGCTCCTTCGTTTTTTTTTCTCGCAAGGGCTATTTGAACGCTCAGCAGAGCCGCTTCCCCACCCGATTCCTCGTTGCCTGTTTCACTAGGGCCTGCACCACTCTGCAAGTTACGTTTCGCCATGTGGCTATGCGCGTGGGTGTCAGGCGGGGCGGAACGAAAGGCGATCACTCACCTGGTACTGTTGTGAAGTCCCTCAAGATTGTCGACGCCACCAAACTCGCGAGTCCCCGGCTTCCATCACCGCAGGTGGGGTCCGTTCCCCTGAGTCCCGGTTTCTGTCGCTGCATGCTTCGGGTGTTGACGAGGTCGTCTTGATGCTGGCTTCTTGAGAGTAGCCCGGTACCCCGTTGATGAGTCTCACCGAGCCGGTACCGCTGGATTAGCTGAAGGCTGTTCTCCTAGTTGTCTTGAGCACTTGTCGCCGGACCCTCTGCACCAACACCATCGTTGCATCTCTGGCACACAATGCTGTCCAAGCGGCCGACGATGTCCACAATTCTGTCAACTGTGCCAGTAAGGTTTCGGTCAATCGTGGGGTGCTGCAGCAGCTGGAGGGTGACTCGTTTCCTGTGACGCTCAGGCTCGGTGGTTGAGTAAATATGAATATATTTACAGATGACAAAAAAAATTTTTGCAAACAAAGCAAGAAAACGTCACGCTTTCGGCGTACTGTCGCTTGCAACAGCCTCAGTCAACAATGATGCGCCTCGGAATGATACGCCCAACCGCGCACAGTGCGGGCACTCTCCTTTGTCGCGCATGACAAACTTATGCGGCCCTCAGACCGCAGGAGACAAACATAGCAATCCGCGGACCCGTTTTAACTCAACTCGTCCCGGCTCGCCAGGACCTCAAGACCAGCGTGCTGACACTGGGTCTGTCCAATCAGGGACATTAAACACTCCTATTGGCCCCAGTGCCAGCACCCTCTCCACGCATACAAGGGGAGCCGCCAAGGTCTCCCTACCACGCTTGTCTGCCCCCGCTCCACGAAGACGCCTCCAATCCGGCTCTGAGAACGGCTACTCGGCTGGCTTTCCACACGGCCATGTCAGCCCGCTCGCGTAAATCCCCTTGGACGGTGCCGCCAAAAGAAAAGGATGAGCCTTTGGGGCGCCCTTCACGGACAGCTCAAGTCGGGTAGACTTAACGAGCTTTCATGTCTGAGCAAGGGGCAATTTGCAACATCCCTACAGCGGCCGTAAGCCGCACTCCGAAAAAAAACTTGCGCTTGACTTTTTTGAAGCTCCTCAGTTCGGTGTGCCAAAGTACGACCTGACTTCGTGGCTTGCGCATTAACTGCTGTATAAGGAGTACTAGTTGGTAATAAAAGAAAACTGAATATGAACAATGAATGCAGGTGCGCATAGATGGCTGTTGGCGTTCGTGAAGACAGAAGCAGACGTCGGCTTCGGTATTTATCAGGACACATTTTCATAAAAAAACCCGAGTGACTATATTTTCGGATATTTTATTTCTTTAAACATTTCTTCTGTGATCGGTCCAGGGTCTAAAGTGTAGATGACAGAGTTGGAGCTGTCCCGCTATGTCTAGTTTATTTTTGCGGTGCGAATGCCGGGTTTGGGGGGGGGGGGGATTTTATGGTGGCATCCAACCAACTTCAGCAGCAACTAACGTAGCAGTCATTATCTAGTGGCACATTGTTTATACTAAGCCACAGCATAACATGCAATTAAAAAAGTGAAAGCCGTTTAGAAATCCCTGTAACGCCGAATTGGAGCGCAGCTCTTGAGGAGGAGTGAAGGGTACTGAGGGGAGGGTAGACCCCTCCTCCTCCCCTCATTCTTTAATATGCTCCGGGGGGCGGTCACGTGACCTCGGGGGGGGGGGGGTGTCACGTGACTTCGGGGAGGGGGGTCACGTGACCTCGGGGGTCACGTGACCTGGGGGTCACGGGGGGGGTCACCTTGGAGTCACGTGACCTTGAGATGACCTTGGGAGGGGTCACGTGACCTTGGGGAGGAGACCACGTGACCTCGGGGGTCACGTGACCTCAGAGGGGTCACGTGACTTG